GATTCACTTTCGGTTTAAATAGAAATATTTTTTACTCATATCTTATGCCATGTTATGTGTCCTTTATTTACATTTATTCCCATATATTTGCTGTCTTTAAATGAAAATTATAGTCTATAATATGTGTTTCTAATGGGAAAGTATTTTTAAATTGTTTTTGTTTAGTGTTATTTGAAACAGACTTTTTTGGGATAAAAAATGATTTTTAATAACTAATAGGTTTTGCTTTTTTTGTGAAATGTCTTTGGAGTTCCGCTTGTCTTTGAGAAACGAGTATTTATTTCTTGAGATTTTATTATTAGATATACGACTAAAATATATTATAACACCATATGTTGTGTTCACCGAAAAAATATATATAATTAAACTTCTCATAACTTTAACCATTTATTCTTTCAGTTTATTATATTTATCGCAATCTTTATTATTATTACTTTTGCTTTTCTCTCATGTTTTTCTATAACGTTATGCAATATATTATATTTTATTTTTGTTTTTTGTGTACCTTTTGATTCACTTTCGGTTTAAATAGAAATATTTTTTACTGATATCTTATGCCATGTTTTGTGTACTTTATTTTACATTTATTCCCATATATTTGGCTGTTTTTAAATGTCTATAATATTGTCTATAATATGTGTTTCTAATGGGAAAGTATTTTTAAATTGTTTTTGTTTAGTGTTAAATATTTTTAGTGTTATTTGAAACAGACTTTTTTGGGATAAAAAATGATTTTTAATAACTAATAGGTTTTGCTTTTTTGCGAAATGTCTTTGGAGTTCCGCTTGTCTTTGAGAAACGAGTATTTATTTCTTGAGATTTTATTATTAGATATACGACTAAAATATATTATAACACCATATGTTGTGTTCACCGAAAAAATATATATAATATAAAGTCATTGAATATTTTGGAGGCTTTTTTCTCTTCGCCCAGAGATTTGAAACATTGATATAAGTCTTGAACTAATTATTTATGTCTATTTATAATTGACTAAAAATAGTGGTGTTTTTTAGTGTAGCAATTTTTAGTGAACGCCCCAATAGTATATGTCACTACACTATTGACAGATAATGTATGTCTCGTTATAATATACCTGACCTTTGATTACGAGTAAAACAACTCTTGATTTTCGCTTAGGTTTTAAGTGCTGAGAAAATTAAGATATTTTTACCATTAGTTATGTTTTGATTATTGTGTTTCAAATGAGTTAATAGTATTGCGAAAGTGGTATTGTTTTGTGCCCTTTAAATACCAAAACAATTAAATGATATGTGAATTAAACCTAAGATTATATCCATTAAGTGCCCACTCATTAGTAGGCATTTTTAAATACACCGCTAATTGTCATGAATTTAATTTCTCAAACGTTTTGCTTAATTATACACTCAATGAGAAAAATGATGATAAAAATGGATGAGTTTTCAAATCAGTTAAATAAATACATATATTTAGTATCAAACATATATTAATCTCAATGATAAGTTGTGTATATAAATAAATATACATTGAAATAATCAAATGTATTAATAAATGGGCATCAAATGACCCAATTTATACGTGATCTCAATCCTTTTATTTATTTATACAAACTTTTTAAATACATTTTAATACATGTATTGAATGCCGTATATCCGTGTGTTTGTAATACTAAAGTAAAATACTATTCATTAGTTTCCTGTAATTTATAATAATTATTTTTTTGTAAATTAATTTATTGAAAGTATGGACTAAATAAATACTGAAGTATTCAGTTATATAAGTTGTGATCTGTGTTATTGGTCATAATGGTAATAAATGCTCCCATGGTGGTTTAGTGTTGGTAATTTACGGACAATGCAGTTGCAATGCAATGAACTCGGCTATTTTGTGTATTTAAACTTGGTTTTTATTTAAATTTCATTGGATACTGCCATGGTAATAATAAATATTTATTCAGGCGTCTAGAATTAATTAATAATGGTTTATTGATACGAAATATGTACATGTTTAGATTGCGAATAAATTAAAATCCATGAACTTTAATTATTGGTTAAATAAATACAAGGATTTCGTTATAATTTAATAATTCATCAGAAAAATGCTTTTTCGTGTATTTAAACAAATTATTTATTTAAATTATACTTATTCTCATCTCTCTCTCTCTCTCTCTCTCTCTCTCTCTCGTCAGTAATAAATACCGTGAAGTGTTTATAATAAGTAACACTAAAAAACACTACAGATTTATAAAACAAAAAACACAACTTATATATTAATACTGTTCCCCTCACAAACATAATTGCTTTCTAATCGCTATATATTTAGACCATATATTTTTCACTGTATATTTCTCTCTCTCTCTCTCTCTCTCTCTCTCTCTCTAACATTTGTTTATATAAACTCGAAATGTCTTTAGATGTGAGCACTAATGAGAGCTTAAAAATACAGTATTAGTGAAAATATATTTTTATTTGTTTTACGAAATAAGTTTTGTAAAAACGAAATATTAATTTTTTATATATTTTTTTTTGCAATTCGTGCGAATTATTAGAAAGTTTACAATGTTTTAAAAAATGTTTGCACAAAATTTAAAGTACATTTTAGGATTAAATTGATTTCAAAAATACATACACAACAGGAATGGCATATATTTAGAAATGATTTGCAATTTGTTTTGCATTTGAAACAACATTTTAATTTTCTGATCGTTTAAAGTATCGGTTAATTATAGGAATTATTTTTAAAATCACTCGTTTGTGTTCCGCAAACAGTATTAATATATAAGTTGTGTTTTTTGTTTTATAAATCTGTAGTGTTTTTTAGTGTTACTTATTATAAACACTTCACGGTATTTATTACTGACAGAGAGAGAGAGAGAGAGAGAGAGAGAGAGAGAGAAATATACAGTGAAAAATATATGGTCTAAATATATAGCGATTAGAAAGCAATTATGTTTGTGAGGGGAAAGGGAGGCCCGAGAGAGGCCATACATGCACTCACTCTCTGTCTGGTAATTGCAATCATATTCAGTAAACTTCTGTTGGGTTTCATGTGTTTTGTTTGGTGTCAGTAGTAGTCATACACTTCGAGAAAGAAAAAAGTGATTATTTAGCGATTGATATATGATTTGTAAGTCATTTCTACATCACATTTGAGTCGTAAACCACTTTTTACTTCACAAAAATCTTCTCACACCAAACATATTAGACATTCATTTCTTTGACTCTCATTTTTTTGCTGCCAAAAAAACTCGTTCAACGGTTTGAGAGAGAGAGAGAGACTGTGTTGTTCACAATTCCTGGTCATTTAAGTTTTATGTTTCTCTGTCTCGATATCCCTATCTTTCCCTCCACTCATAAACTTCAGTCTCTCTTTCCTTTCACTTAATTTGCGAAATAATGCACTGTTTTTGGCTTTTAGTTACAATTTTACATAAAAGCAAATGTATTTTCCCTTTCGTTTTGGAAGTTTTTTGGTTTAAAACCGTATGTTTTTGTGCTTAAATTTTAAGCGATTTTTCCTTTCAAACCATAAGTCTTGTCGTGTTTTCACTTTACGACTCTTTTCTCACGTCTATCTCATAAGCGAATTGCAAATGAAAAAGTATTATCTGTTTTAGTGGAGAGAGAGAGAGAGAGAGATACCAAACAAAACACATGAAACCCAACAGAAGTTTACTGAAAATGATTGCAATTACCAGACAGAGAGAGAGAGAGAGAGAGAGAGAGAGACTGTGTTGTTCACAATTCCTGGTCATTTAAGTTTTATGTTTCTCTGTCTCGATATCCCTATCTTTCCCTCAACTCATAAACTTCAGTCTCTCTTTCCTTTCACTTAATTTGCGAAATAATTCACTGTTTTTGGCTTTTAGTTACAATTTTACATAAAAGCAAATGTATTTTCCCTTTCGTTTTGGAAGTTTTTTGGTTTAAAACCGTATGTTTTTGTGCTTAAATTTTAAGCGATTTTTCTTTTCAAACCATAAGTCTTGTCGTGTTTTCACTTTACGACTCTTTTCTCACGTCTATCTCATAAGCGAATTGCAAATGAAAAAGTATTATCTGTTTTAGTGGAGAGAGAGAGAGAGAGAGAGCGTAAAAAGTAAGACAAGAGAGAGAAAGTATATTTCGGTCATCGCTTGACATCCAATTTCTTTTACGGTACACTTCCGTGACTTATAGATAACCATTAATACTGAATGTCTGACTATTACTTTTTCTCTTCCCTTAATATTAATAGAGAGAGAAAGTATATTTCGGTCATCGCTTGACATCCAATTTCTTTTACGGTACACTTCCGTGACTTATAGATAACCATTAATACTGAAACAGACTGATAATGAAAAAGAGAAGGGAATTATAATTTAGAGCCTATTTTATAATCTAAATAATAATGAAAGATACGTAAAAACACACGAAAAATACACAAAAACATAATTTATAACACACCAAAACATTTGAAACCATATTCTCTACAATTTCCATGTTTTAAACAAAACACATGATATTTAATGCCATAAATGTGTTTATTCTTTGTCTGTTATATTCCTATTGTTATTTCATATAAATCATTGTAATTATGAAATGCATTAAAAGCAAAGTATATTTTTTGCCGACTTTTTTGTTGGAGTTTTGTTTTTCTCATATTTTATAGCTATTTATTGCTACACTTGTTCTGTAATAGCAATTCATTCTCATTATTGTCATATGTATGCTCTCTCCCATTCTCTCTCTCTCTCTCTCTCTCTCTCTCTCTCTCTCCTATGAGTTATAATGTCTTTGTTTGAGTTTTTGTGTCCCCTTTTGTTTCCATTACATGTTTCACATCTCTTTGTTGAACCACTCATTGCTCTCTTCAATTCAATCCATTTATTCGTTGGAAAACAAAATGATTTCTTTGTTTTACTTTATTTTATTTAACATTTCTTTCATATTATAAATAGACAAATAACTTGTGTCTCATTTTCCAAGTGCTTCACTCAGAGAAAGAGAGAGACCAAAGACTCTCTGCCTAATGACTGAATGTCTGGTATGTGTTGTGTTTGTCTGACTATTACTTTTTCTCTTCCCTTAATATTAAATCTCGGATAAAATATTAGATTTATTATTACTTTCTATGCATTTTTGTGTGCTTTTTATGTGTTTTTGTATTAAATATTGTGTGGTTTTGGTTTGAAACCATATTCTCTTCAATTTCCATGTTTTAAACAAAACACATGATATTTAATGCCATAAATGTGTTTATTCTTTGTCTGTTATATTCCTATTGTTATTTCGTATAAATCATTGTAATTATGAAATGCATTAAAAGCAAAGTATATTTTTTGCCGACTTTTTTGTTAGAGTTTTGTTTTTCTCATATTTTATAGCTATTTATTGCTACACTTGTTTTGTAATAGCAATTCATTCTCATTATTGTCATATGTATGCTCTCTCCCATTCTCTCTCTGCTATGAGTTATAATATCTTTGTTTGAGTTTTTGTGTCCCCTTTTGTTTCCATTACATGTTTCACATCTCTTTGTTGAGCCACTCATTGCTCTCTTCAATTCAATCCATTTATTTGTTGGAAAACAAAATGATTTCTTTGTTTTACTTTATTTTATAAATTGTAAAGAAAGTATAATATTTATCTGTTTATTGAACACAGAGTAAAAGGTTCACGAAGTGAGTCTCTTTCTCTCTCTGGTTTCTGAGAGACGGATTACTGACTTACAGACCATACACAACACAGCCATACATGACATTGTTTTGTCCATAAATGAGTGCCAGAACTTCATAGACATAGAGAATATTCTTGTATTTAATGTCTCGTTAAGTGAGACTTAGGTTTTCGGTCGTAATTATTATATGATTACTGAATGCATGGCATATACTGTAGTGTTGTTGCAGTTGTGGACCAGAGATCTTGCGTTTTTGGGATTTCACTTCATTTTATTAAATTATATAATATTAAAAACCAATTTTTGAGTCTTCAGTCACGATAGCCCTCAGAGATGGTTAGATAGGAGGCTATAAATACGATATATATTTTATATGGAGTGAAAAACATCACTTATTCAGCGCTCTCTCTCTCTCTCTCTCTCTCTCTCTCTCTCGATAAACAAATTATATAATCAGATATCTCTCTTCAAATTTGCACTATTTTTATACATTATATAAGTGTATGAAAAATGGTTGATATTTATTGCAAACCATTTTCCTCACCACCAGTTCCTCCGATAAGACAGACTATAATTTTAGTGAACATAATATTACAGTATATTTCGTAATCACTTCTCTCTCTCTCCTAACAGTCACTCATCAATCAAACGCCAGTTTTTTGTCTCTAATATACGGAGTGAACAATACATGCGTTATATCATTACAATAGAGATAACAATTTATAACCCAAACAATACGTATAATAAACTAAAACTGCGAAATATATATAGACGAGAGAGACTCTCTCTCTCTCTCTCTCTCTCTCGTTTTATATTGTGTATTAAAAATACCTGATTATAAAAAATGAATGTTAGTTAACTACCGTAGTTGAGAACATTAGTAAATCCTTAAAGGACAGTAAAAATTCCAATTATTTTTCGCTTGAAAAATGAGTTTAATTTTTTCGGGGCTTTTATTTATGATTATTACCAGAATATTATTTATTTATTTTTGACTTAATATACTTTTGAGGGCATCCATTTGCTCTCTCTCTCTCTCTCTCTCCCAAAAACACATTAATAACTCATATAAGTTATTGGCGTTTAAGTGATATTACAAAATATCACATGCATTTCTAGAGACATGTATTCATCTTAAAAATGACAGGAAATTCCGAAATGATTACAAGAGTTGATGCCATCAATTGATTGTAAGTAAAAAATATTAGTCCATAAAAATTATGTGTTATATTTTGCTCTCTCTCTCTCTCTCTCTCTCTCGACTTCATTTATCGCTTCAAATATATTAAATAAAAATATTTTGTGATTCAATCGATAATTGAATACATGTCTCTAGAAATGAATGTGATATTTTGTAATATCACTTAAACGCCAATAACTTATATAATATGAGTTATTAATGTGTTTTTGGGAGAGAATGCAAAAGTGTGTAGAAAATTAATCTCATATATTCTGGGATTGATTTTTCATAATAGTGTTTACGAAAATGCAAACTCGGATTCCCATTAAAGGCATTATTAATATTATGATTGTCGACATTTATTAGGCTATATTAGACTACCTCTCGTCACACCACTCACACTATTAGCCCACATATACTATCCCTATTTAATCATAATGTCTCCATTGTATTGATGTCCTCCTAATGGTGTACACACTCTGTAATAATAATGTTGTTTATATAATGAGCTATAGTGTACTTTATTATGTATATCTTATATACTTTACAGGTATTATTAATAATATCACAAATACTTAAGGCATTTAACGTATGGATAATACGAGATTGAAGTCTTGGCACACGTTTTGTACATTTAAATCCTAATATCACTAAACGTTGTGTTGTTTTTCATTTTTCCACTCCTTGACCAACATTTGCCATTCATTTATATATACAGTATTATTATGATTAAAATAAATATATATTTATTTATTAGATTAATTATACCGTGTATTTAAATCTATGTATTACATCGTTATATAATATTCTACACGATATATCATATAATGAATATGTTTAGCATTTTTCATAGAATATTAAAATAAATATATATTTATTTATTAGATTAATTATACCGTGTATTTAAATCTATGTATTACATCGTTATATAATATTCTACACGATATATCATATAATGAATATGTTTAGCATTTTTCATAGAAATGCAGTTTTTAATTATTATTTATACGGTTTGCCTTTTAAGGGCTTTCTCTTCGCTATCCCTTTCCTTTCTCTGCCCTAAAGTCTGTTTAAAATATTTTTAAACACAAAGACATTAATTAAAAATATTAAAAATTTAATGAATTTTGCGTTCAATATATTAAAACATTAAATTAAGTGACAAAATATGCTAATTTGTAGCCAAAGTTTTCGTATGTAGTTATTGAATACGTCTGTTTGTGTTGTGTGTATGTGTTTGTTATGTAATGTTTAAAAATAATTAATTAANTATTAAAACATTAAATTAAGTGACAAAATATGCTAATTTGTAGCCAAAGTTTTCGTATGTAGTTATTGAATACGTCTGTTTGTGTTGTGTGTATGTGTTTGTTATGTAATGTTTAAAAATAATTAATTAAATTTAATGAATAAAATGTATTTGAAACTAATGATGGTGATTATCTCTTTAAACAGATAAATTTACGGCTCATTTTGCCGGCATTAGGCGAAAGTGGGAAAGCGAAGGAATTTTTATTTTCGTAAGTTTCACATTTACCATGTTCATTATTTATAAATGATAATTTTATTGCTAACTAAACATGCTAGAATAATTATGCAATGTGTGTTGTGTAATACATATTGTTGTTATTCAATTGAAACCAATTAATTGTGCTATTTTTTGTTTTTACCATGATAAATGAGTTAATATTCATTGCCTTATTATGTTTTTAATATTTAGATTAGAATATTCTGTTAATTATTATTTATATTGTTTAATATTGTTATGAAATTAATAAAATTTTATTTATTGTTTAAATAGTTTTATTTCAATTAGCGATTAGAAAGTTTTGTTTTAAAACATTAAATTAAGTGACAAAATATGCTAATTTGTAGCCAAAGTTTTCGTATGTAGTTATTGAATACGTCTGTTTGTGTTGTGTGTATGTGTTTGTTATGTAATGTTTAAAAATAATTAATTAATTTAAATGAATAAAATGTATTTGAAAACTAATGATGGTCATTATCTCTTTAAACAGATAAATTTACGGCTCATTTTGCCGGCATTAGGCGAAAGTGGGAAAGCGAAGGAATTTTTATTTTCGTAAGTTTTACATTTACCATGTTCATTATTTATAAATGTTAATTTTATTGCTAACTAAACATGCTAGAATATTATGCAATGTGTGTTGTGTAATACATATTGTTGTTATTCAATTGAAACCAATTAATTGTGCTATTTTATTTGTTTTTACCATGATAAATGAGTTAATATTCATTGCCTTATTATGCTTTTAATATTTAGATTAGAATATTCTGTTAATTATTATTTATATTGTTTAATATTGTTATGAAATTAATAAAATTTTATTTATTGTTTAAATAGTTTTATTTCAATTAGCGATTAGAAAGTTTTGTTTCAGACAATGGATTGTGGAAATTATTTTATCACATAATTTATTATACGATATAATAATTTCTAGGATTAAATTAATTATAATTGAGATCTAGATTACTAAATAAATATATAGCGTTCACACATTGTATTGTAAATAATAGTGTTATTAATTAAATGTTTTCATTTTCTGCCCGAAAACGTTTGAATTAGTGTTTAAAATACAGGGTTTTAACGAAACTAAAAGTAATAAAATAGTTTAGATATGGATTTCTTAATTGGTTTTTTTGTTGCGAAAAATAAAATGTTTAGTTAATAAACGACTCAATTAATTATTATTTCTGTTTCCATTGGTATAGACCGAGCGATTCGGCCGCAGATATAGCACAATATGTGTTTGATAACTGGCCCGAAGGTAATATATATTTTACATTCACTATTTGTTTGATGTATTATTGATTATATTTATATTCTGGGTCTTATTTTTACTTGATTTTTGTCATATATTTTCCATTCATTTCCGGACAGAGATTTTTATTTACTTTTCACCCGAAAATTATTGATTTATTTATTTCTGTATAATTTTCAAACATGTTAAGCAATTTTTTCGCTGTCATAAATCTTTATGATAATTTCTGGGATCTCTCTCTCTCTCTCTCTCTCTCTCTCTCTCTCTCTCTGTCGTTCCCGAAGGGACACGACGTTTGAGCGGAAGAGATAACGAAAGACAGAAAAGAAAAAAGTTTTAAAATAAATACATAAAACACTGCCTTATAGTGTACTGTACTGTCTATAACTATAAAAGATAGGGAAACCATTAAAANTCTCTCTCTCTCTCTCTCTCTCTCTCCGTTTAGTTTTGTTTATTTATTTAAGAAAATTTTACATTAATTTTCATATAAGACATTATTATCTACATATGAAATGCAATTAATATTTCATTAAATTTAGTGAACAGTACACGCATTGAGAGTTAAATATTTATTTTTGTTACAATAATTACAGTGTATTTAAGACTCGGATAATTACAAAAAGTTATTTAGCGAATTAATTTCAATATAAATTTATTTAACATGTAATTTATATATTTAAATATAATTGTATAATGATTGTAGTTCTAGACTTTTATTATTGTTATAATAACAATAATGTCTAGTTTTAAGTACAGATAATTATAATGAATGCCCTTTTCATCGGCTAATAGTCGGCAGAAATTAAATTATAAGAAATTTATTTTTGGATGCATTTATTGAATTAAACATCAATTTAAGTTCATTTTAATGGTTTCCCTATCTTTTATAGTTATAGACAGTAAAGTACACTATAAGGCAGTGTTTTTTGTATTTATTTTAAAACTTTTTTCTTTTCTGTCTTTCGTTATCTCTTCCGCTCAAACGTCGTGTCCCTTCGGGAACGACAGAGAGAGAGAGAGAGAGAGAGAGAGACTCCTTAAGTAAATGGCTATAAAAACTTTAAGCTTAAAAAAGTCATTTCATGATTTCCATTGACGTTCACTAAGTTTTTTATGGGAGAATTGAATGTTATTTTATTTTGTTGTTTTGTTAAACAAAACTGAGAAAAACATTTATCTTATTTACTTATTAATTGTCTTTGTATTTGTCTTCTTCTCATGGCTTTGGAAGAATGGAAAGACGAGGCGGTGTCGAGAGCGGAGATCCTGCGGCTCATATTCCAGGGCCGGTTTCTACACGGAAATGTCACACTAGAAGGTATACAACCCCTCCCTTTCCCCCCTCATCCCTGTTCCCCATCAGGTCCGCCACCACTACCACCCACTCCTAACCTCCCATTCCCAGTGTGTCGCTAACATTCCTACCCCATGTCCTCATCCCTATCCCTATCCCTGTGCCCAACAATCCGTTGCACAACAGAGAAGTGATATAAATAATTAATTATCCGAGAATTATATATAGAAATTGTATGCATAGGAGATGTGATGTCTGTATCTGTTTTGCAAACATTTATATACATATCTATGAGAGAGTCACAGATCCATGACTTCATTAGTTATTAATTAACACATAATTAGCATTGAATACCCGAATACGAGTGCGCTCTCGGAGTTTGTATGCGAAACATACGGACAATTGCTTTTAATTATAATTACGGATATTATTTATTGATTGGCTTATTATGTTGTGTGCCGTAAATGTAACTCAATTTTTTTGAAAAACATTTGTCTGATAATTGATTTTTCTTTCTCTATGTCTGACTGTCGTGTCGTACGTACGGATCGATTGGTTTTGAACTTTTCAAACAACACAAAACAGCACTTCAATTGCCATTAGGAAAGACAAGTGTAATGCATTTGGTTCCGCGTGAAAACCTACCTGAGCCTAACTCACAAGGTATGGCCCCAAACAGCACATACTGTACACTACAATACATGCAAAAACATACATATCGTTTGGTAGATAAGAGAGACCCCACCCGACAGCCCGGGTCTCCACACAATAGATCTGAGTTTTGCATTCAAAATGTCTTTTTTCCTCCAATAATGCGCTATATTTTGACATTTTTCCACTCTTTTATGAAATACACTATCAATTGTTGATTTTGTATGCATTTTATTATTGATATACAGTATACCTGTGTATAGTGTAGTGTATGGCATAATATCCATTGTTGGGTGTATTTTGCAATCGCTAAATATTTTTTTCTTTGAAGTCAATTAATTATACATTGAAAATGTATTTTTTGCTCACAAAGTAATTTTATTGCAAACAAATTCAGTGCTTTTTTATATGTAATGTAGTGTTTGTTTGGCAAAACTCTTACATTTATTATGAATCGTTAAGTTGAATTGAATTCTGAGAGATAGACAAAAGTACACAAAAAACAATAATAAATGCAAATAATTTATATTTAATGCGATTTTTGACTCCTGTTTCTCTCCCTCTCAATCGTCAACACATTATGTATACAAATGTTTAATATATTAAATTTAGATTTGCATTGCATTTGAATTATGTTATGTTAAGCGATATATACGAGCAAAAAAATCTGTTAGTTTTTAAAGTGTAAAAGTGTTGTATCATATTATCTATGGATATGTATTAAAGCGAAAGATCATTTCATTCAACCTCTGCCTTCCTTTCCCCTCTCCCTCTCTGGTCTGTCTCTCTGTTAGTCCCCGAAAATTAATGCCATTTAATGTGTGTATAGTTTTTTTTCTCGGGTATTAAATGTTGCCAACAGTTTCGCATCGACTGTTTGCCAGTTTTTAGTCTCACAACAACTCAATGTATATTTATATTCATTTTAATGTTTATTATTTGGGCAAAAAGGCAGCGAAGAATTGAATACATATGCCATTGCTATGCACTGAATACACGACTAAATGGCAAATACCATCCAATACTACACAGGAAGAGACATACAGAGAGGGCAGAGAGAGAGAGAGAGAGAGAGAGAGAGAGAGAGAGAGAGAGNTCAATGGGAAAAGAAATAAAATACACAATGAATTGTTTTCTCGTTATTTTGTTTGTTTTTTATTGAGGATTTTATTATAGACCAAATTCAGAGAGAGAGAGAGAGAGAGAGAGAGAGAGAGAGGCCTAAGAAATTCCATAAGCGGAAAATGTATTGCTCTCCCCTCAGCTCTCTCTCTCTCTCTCTCTCTCTCTCTCGCCCTATGCTGTGTTTGTTTCAATTTGAGTGCCTCTGAATTTGTTATACAGTTATAACTCATAGCTCTCTCCCGAAAAATATGTGACTCACAAAATGAGGGGAGAGAAGAAAGTTTTGGCTGTTAGAGCACTGGTATGTTTCGGTTGACCCCATCTATCCATCCCATCCCCAGCCGTGCAATCATTTCAGACACTATTTATTCCTCAACTCGTATTACTTTGCCTTTGATTTTTGTGCTGATGTTATGCTTTTTCGGATCCAATTTGAGGCACATTTCTCGACAATACTCTCAAAACATACCAAAGAAAATACTTATGATATTTATAAGTGAAAGTAATTATAAGTCATTCCTTCCCCTGATCTCTCTCTCTCTCTCTCTCTCTCCATTTCTATCGTCAAATAGCTATTAATTTTTGTTTATTATTACTTCTAATCCCCTCTATATTTCTTCGACGGAAATTAATTGTTATGAATATTATATATTAAATAATTATATTTCGTTGACATTTAAATTGAAAAAAAGTATGTATTTTTAGCAAAAATTTTAACACAAAAAAGTTTTACCATATTTTATATATAAATAATATGTGTTATTCTGTCGTTACATTAAACGCTAACTTATCGGTCGAAAACAAATATGAGATAAAACTCTTTTTTGTGATTTAATTTTGTTGTTTCGCTGAATATTTTAAGCGGAAAAAAATAATTGGTGTTAAGGTTTGGGGAAAAACATTGTATTTTTCAAAATGACATTTCTTTTTATTGTACGCTCTGTTCAAAGGCGTGAATAACAAAAAGCACACAAAAAATCAATCGCTCCGGGAGTATAGCCTGCGACTACTCGACTGAGCCGTGTCTTTGGATCAAATGTGTGTTTTGTTATGCAATACATATATATATTTCTCTTTTCCCCGTTTTTTTCAGTTAACAATATTTGATTTCTTTCTATCTCTCTGTTTTGTATCTGTTTTTATGGCTTCGCACACGTGTTTTGAAAGCGAAATGTGTGTTTGAAAATGCGATTGAATGCCATTTCACTCGTCAATAAGGCATTAGTTTTTCGTTGTCGAGAGAGATATGCCTTTCACTCAAATATATGAGTATTTATATAGATTTGAGCGAAAAGCCAGCGCCAGAATTGCATGATTATAATCGCACCGATGGCTCCCAACCCTCCCATTCCATTACCTCCCGTACCTCTTGAGCTGATATACCGTATAAACAACGATACAATGCATACATACATAGGAAATAGAGATCCCATCTCTGATTCATGCCATCGTTTACATCGTTAGGAATATAGGAATCGATTTTTCTATTACTCTATTATTGTTGTCGTTATTTAATATATTAGTAGATATTCTCCGCTCTCTTCTCTATCTCCGCATATATTCCTCTACTCTTGTATTGATTTTTCTCTCACCAGTTGTGACTAAATTAAGACCAAATGAAGTCATTAACGGATATCTCTTGTGGAGAGAGAGAGAGAGAGATGAGGGGAAGGAATGACTTATAATTACTTTTACTTATAAATATCATCGTTAATGACTTCATTTGGTCTTAATTTAGTCACAACTGGTGAGAGAAAAATCAATACAAGAGTAGAGGAATATATGCGGAGATAGAGAAGAGAGGGAGAGAGAGAGAGAGAAAGTGCTGTTTCGGCAATTAATGGCATAACTTGTCCGCAAAATGAATACATTTATATCAATCATAATTTGCTATTAGTTTTTGTTGTTTCGTTGAAGACATTGAAAGTTAAGACCCATTTTTGTGCTATTTTTGTACTTTCTATTAGATATTGTAGTCTTATATGTAATAAAAAGTGAAAGATTATATTATATGTGTTTTTAGATTAGATTTTATTTATTTATATTTAGTGTATATATTATGTATAAGTCTATTGTGGTGTAGGATATGGTTGTAATGGTATGACGTTTTTGAATGCAAAATAGCATTCATTTACGATTAATTCAATACTTATATATGTCTGACATTTGAATTTAAATGGTATTACAATTCAATGGGAAAAGAAATAAAATACACAATGAATTGTTTTCTCGTTATTTTGTTTGTTTTTTATTGAGGATTTTATTATAGACCAAATTCAGAGAGAGAGAGAGAGAGAGAGAGAGAGAGAGAGAGAGAGACTAATAACATAGTGAATTCAATTTCATTAGCAGTAAAAACATTTCAGTCATTAATTTTTTAGGAAAATAAAAGCATTTTTAATTATAAATTAGCGTTCATTAGGATTACTGTATTTGAAATTTCCAAGAAGTTTAATATCGATTTTTCTGTTAATTTAGATGTTTGTGTAGAAAAACTTAATTTTTATTGTTTTTTTGAATGAATATTATTGTAAAAATGAAATTACTTTTAATGGTGTTTTAGTTATTGGTCTCGTAGATATTGTACTGGTATTTGGTTAGGATTTTGCCATTAATGAACCCCCGCTTTATAACCCACTTTATGAAATGTATTTTGATTATGATTAGTATTATTCGCATTGAAATTAGTGATGGATGTAATGAAATGATTTTTTGTCGTGAATATACTGTTTGTTAGGATTTGTTTGAGAAAATTTATAAATGTAATTATAATTGGGTTTTTAAATATTCAATTAGACATGTATTTCATAAATATATCTGTATTATCGCCCATACATTGCACTTTGTATTGAGAAATGCATTTTTGTTTAATAGTTTCATTCATGACTTTATATATGAAGTAATTGTTGATAATTATAATGAATGTCTATTATCTGTCGCCCGAATACTTCATTAAAATATATTATTATTTATAAATAATATTTTTGATTGAATAGAGTTTTCAAAGGCTTTTTCTAAATCATGAATATATTAATAGTTGTTATTCATTATAATTTATGACTATTTTTAAAAATATCTATTAATTGAATATTAAATGAATGTCTCGATTGAATGGTAGGTTTAATTGAATATTTTTTACTTTAAAGCGATTACATTTTGTATGATTTGTGCGTCGATTTATAGTTAAATTAAATAGTTTTCCCCAATAGTTAAGACATTACATTATTAAAACCCAGTGTTTTTAAGACACTTTAAATTAAAATAATTTATCGTTTTTGTGTTGACTTTAAACTTTGAGAATTAAGTTGTTTTTCAATCACATCTCAAGACTCGTGTGTAAACTCTTAACCCCCGCAATGAATATGTATTTTTTCCTGAATGTAAATTTTGTGGTAAATATTTATCATTTTTGAATTCATATTCAAATACAGTGTCGGAAATAATAATCATTTGGTTTATGTATTAATTATGTGAATACAAATTTTGTGTGTTTTTTACAGTGAATACTGGCTTTTGTGCCATAAAATAGACGTTTTTGTGTTCATTTTGTGAATTGGGTTTCTTTTTCTTCGTTTCTGTCGATCATTTCAATTGACTTTAATTACAATTGAATTCACGAAAGCGTTTAAAATGATATTTTAAATTAAAATAAACCTCTCTTTTCACTGTTATTTTGTAATTACAATAAATGAATGAAATTAGTTATAAATATTTTTTACTGAACGACTATTTGGGTCATCCCTTTCTCTCCCGCTTTCTCTCTCTCTCTCTCTCTCTCTCTTCTGCTTTTTTAATATTAAGGGAAGAGAAAAAGTAATAGTCAGACATTCAGTATTAATGGTTATCTATAAGTCACGGAAGTGTACCGTAAAAGAAATTGGATGTCAAGCGATGACCGAAATATACTTTCTCTCTCTCTCTCTCTCTCTTGTCTTACTTTTTACGCTCTCTCTCTCTCTCTCTCTCTCTCTCTCTCTCTTTCAATTCCCATTGTATTTTAGGTTTCAATTTCATTCAAAAACGCATTGAAATTAATGTTAATTTTATTCAATTTCTTTCTCTCTCTGAAACTTTTCAATAATGGTTTTTGTAGTGAAATAATAATAAATTAGGATTTTTATCGGTTGAATAAAAAGATGAAAAAGTATTTTTTCATTTCCAGTAATTTATTTGATATTAAAGTAATTGGAGAGAAAGTCTACGGTTTGAATAACAGGGTTAGTCTCTCATGTGATGTGACTTTTTAATGAAAATCAATTTTCCGGTTATTTCCTATGCCCTCATTTATACCCGGATTATCTCAAAGTAATATTGTCTGAGCGGTAATGATATGGACTTAGGATTAGTGGTTGGGATGAGTTGTCGCTATCTTATTACACAATAACTCTATATAGAGATACTTATTATGGATATATTGGTAAACATTACGACCAGCTTATGGTATATTAATAACTGTCCATTACTTGATATGCACTTAATATATGCTGACATTTGGCCGTAAGTATAATAAATGGTATAATTATAAAGATTATTGTGATATTAGGTATGGATTTAATGTATTATTGAATCTAAAACATAATAGTGTGGTTAAAATGTCAAAATATTATAAGCAATGAATTGTAGCATTAAATCGGTTGTCACACAAAATACAATATACACTTGAATTGAAATTTAATAATTAAATTAATAAAATGTTTGAATTTTGCAGATCAACGACAAAAAAGCAAAGACCGGAGCAGTGGTTGCTGTAGTACGAGTTGTTCAATATTATAAAGTGAATCAATTAGTTTGTTTGTCAACTACTTCTTCTTCGACTACTACTTCTTCTGGACTTATTCTTCGACTCTCTTCTGCTTTTTATTCTTCGACTTATTCTTGTGTTTTAAGAGACAATTGTGTCTCAAATTGTTATATTGTTTTCGGGCGACTCGTCATCACAACTATAGACACTCTTTCATCCGCCAAATCACACCATTTTATCCTCTCATGAGATAATGATTGAAACAAAATGATAAATATTTCTTTCGACAAACACTCGCTCTTTCTATATATAATTATAAATACATTATAAATATATTAATTAAGAAAAAAACTATAACATTGATATAAATATACAGTAAATATTATATAAAATATAAATATATGAAAGCGTTAATTAATTTTAGACACAATATATATTATAAATATAACAAGAATTATATAATACAATGTATTTCTCGACTCGTTTTACTCTTTATCTCTATCTCTCTATTTCTTGTAGTCTTATATACATAACTATTTGCGCATAAAATACATTATATTTTGTTATTTATTAATTATAATTCAATTCAGACAACAGTAAAATACAATACAATACAACATTTATAATAGATTTTTTCATATAAAATGTATATTTTTTGGCCGAAAAGTTGATTTTCACGTTTGTTAGGCTCTATTGAACTCAATTGCGGCAGAAATTCAATGCCAATTGAAAATTGAAAAACAAAAAACTAATTTAATATCTGATTAGACAATGGGTTTTTGTGGTCTCGAAGGCTATGGTTGGGGTATATATCCCATTGGCAAACAGCACATGATAATGATATTATTGGTGTGCTATTTATCTAACAGTGTATTTATGGCCAAAACGTTTTTATAATATTAGTTTTTTTGTTATTTGCTTTTTTCCATAGCCTAACCACACAATCGATACCTCGAGTATTGGATTTTTCTGTATT